TTTCGATTGTGTTAGTAACGATATAACTGTGAAGAATAAACAAACTGTCCCGCGTTTCTTTTACGAGACACTTTCTAACCTCTACATAAAATCTTCGAATAAAAATTTTGTTTCGATACGTTTTAAACGTAGGATAGACTTTGAAAAATGTTATCGATTTTTTCCATGGAACAGTTTGCACAACGATCGGGAAGGTAACGCTGTTTTCGTGTGGAATAACTCGGACACTCTGGCTCTCGGCTGCCTGTCAATTAACTATCATTAACATCGGCGAATTAGTCGGAGGCGAGCGTCGATACGTATTCGTAGGAGTAAATCCCGTTCGAACGAGTTCGTTAGTTATTCCCTCTCTCTCCCTCTGTCTTTCCCTCTCGTACCAAGAGTATACGCATTTTCACACGCGTTTACCCACGCGCTCTAACATTTATTCGAATGCATTTCCGGCGCCTCTCACTTTGCGGACCGTTTTCTCGCGTCGTCACCGCCATTGACGTTGATGTCCACGTCGTCTGCGTTCGCGACCCACGTGCTCCTTTTTGGAACGGTCCACGACAGCTCGAATCCTCGCGTGTGTGCCTGTGTCCATTGTCGACGTGTTCAGCGTTCGCGACGCTAGATTCAGTGGCGCTGCGATCGCTCGGGAAATCTAACCATCAGGAGATGCGAATAATTTTTAATAATATTTTAAATTTAGAAATTCTTGGAAATTTCTGCTGTTTTATATTAGAAGGAAACATGCGAAGAAGTAGTGGAAATTTTCGAAACCACAAAGTTCCTAGAAATTCCCAGATCTTGGTTATTTTAAACATCTTTAACATACGTGTCTGACGCGGCGGGAATCTTGGGAATTTTGAATGTCTTTATTTCGAAATACTTGGCAAATACTTGGAAGCTTTGAAAAATTGTGACACTCGCAGAAAATCTAACGAGGCAATTTTTTCTAAATTTTTAATTTTATAAATTGCCTTTATTTCGACAATGATCGAAGATTAAAGAAATAAAAAGTAGCCGTGACCGCTTGAATTTTCAATGTTTGCGTTTACAGCCATGTTTTTAAATGGAACAATTGGATATAACGAAATTCGTGGATCGATCGATCGATTCGCTCGAATGTTGCTATCATATTCGCGAATTACAGTTCAGCATTGGCCAAACGTTTGTTTGGCAATTGCTCAACGATGTGGAGAATCAATTGGATTTTCCCGCGGGCAGAACCGATAATGTATCGATAATTGCACGAAAGAGCTGAGAAATAGAAATGGACTCTCGAAATTGTTCGCGATCGCAAGAGCCAAGTGCATCGTTTGCGCTTTGCTATCGTACCTACATGATTTATTACCACGTGATGTGCCACGGGTAACCCCTTTCAAACTAAGAATTCTCAAAACTGAAGTATTATCTGGTGCTGTCACCAAATAATCAATAATTTCTTATAATATTCATAACAAATAATATTTAAAAAATAATATTATTTATTAAAGAATAAATAATATTTATAAGAAATTATAGTTAGTAGTTATTTTCAAGCATATAAATACATTGAGCATCGTTATATTAACTATTATTCGAACACCTTCTCTAGGATTCTATAACCGTGTAAAAATTTTTGTTTCTTTCGATGTCGCAGCGTTACATTAAATTTAAAAATCGGAATTACACCGCAGCGTCACCACGCGAGATACGCCGGAACTACCAAGTCATAAAACTAACCTAAATGTAGCACACTTATAACGAGAATAAGTGACGTTCTTCTAATATCTCGATAAAAACAATTTCTAAATTAGAATCCATCACTATTATTATTTTTGTAATTTTACTGTCGACGATCTCACGCGTGAAAAAAGAAATTCTCAAATACGAGCTCAGAGGGATCGGTAAAGAATACGAGAAAAACGCGATGGAAAAATAAAATCGACGAAACACGTGGAAAAAAGAGGATCGTCCTTCGTCAGATAGAAGTCCCATTGTACGAGCCCATGCGAGACAATTTCTCATCGAGTCCGAGCAACGTCGTGTCGTTAATCTCCACCGATGCGGCCGTCTTGTGTGGCGTATTACACGCGCGACAACTCTATTCGGCCGACAGGAGGCGCTTGGAAACCGCGCCTCGCTTATAAATATTCCACGACCACGTCCGATGCCAACGAGACGTCTCCTCACGCGTACTTACACGCTCGCGTTTTACACGCTTCTGTCTAGCAGACGGACGATGTGTTCGAAGGAAAGTTTCGATAGGAATAAAACAATGCCGTGTATTGATCGAATTCCGACGGAACGGGGGATTCATAACCTCGTTGATCGATCTGGGTTCCGGGATATCTCGTTATCGTCATGGGAAACATCGTCCCTCCCAGATTGAGGCGAGCACGTTTCGAGGGTCAATAACTGTGTTTTGCAGTTGTATAACAACGTTTCCGTTGTTATACTAATTTTTAGTGTATATAGAGATACGTGCATTAAAAACAGTGTATAGAGATCTAACCTAACAGAAACTATTATATTAAATGCATACATAATATTATATTATTATTATTGTTGCATTATTACACTATTATTATTATTATTATTATTGTTATCATGTATATTATTACTTCAATTTATACACTATGCATTATTTAGGTATACTATTTTTACTTAATGGAGATTTTCAATAAACAGGAATATTGATTAGGAATGTTTTCGGATTGAATTTTTTTTTCCAATTTAATTGGAAAAAAATCGTTGAATTTTGGGTTTGGTTTGGTGTACAATGGAACACGAGCTCGGAGGTTTCGTGTGTGTACGATTGACTCTTGTTCTAATTAACAACTCTCGCAGAAGGGTCGCAGTCACCACTCGCGGAACACCACTGTGGAATACCAAAAGGGTTCGGGGAAATCAAAGTCAGTTGATTAACCCTCTCTCACTCCGAAATCAGTAATTAGCCTCTTGAGGTATACCTGTCAACATGAACGAGCGTCTGATGCGTCTGCATGGCAATTAAACATTTATTTCTGCATGCTTTGGACCCTCGCGTTTAAGCCCATGAAGCAATTCCAAACTGCGGCCTGTGCCTTTTCCTGGTCGTTTTCATGCGACACTTACGTGTCTATTATGTGGTGTTCGTTCGTCTCATAAATGAAGTAAAACACACGACATTGTTGTTGATCATTGGCGTGTAAAAAGCTTCGAAGAAGTTTAGATTTCTGCGGAGAAATGAAGGGAAGTTGGAAATGTAGAAAAAGTGAAACGTATTTCACGTATACGCGAAGAAATAGAATAATATTCGCTTTAATTCGATGACTATTTGAAATTGGAGAAGATATTTAAATTAATAATACCAAATTTATGTTAGGAACCCTGTACCACACCAGATGTTGAATTATAATACGTAAGATCGAAAATTGTATTTATAGGTTAGGGACGTACAGGCAAATACTTTCGAGAAACGCGATAAACGTAGGTTATGTCGTGATCCCTCTGGCGGCGAATCGAGGAAGCTTTCCCCGCTATAAATATTAGCAACTTTACATTATCGAATTTTACATCATCTTCAACAACACCAATAACACTAAATAAAATACTGAACGTTTATAGAAACTATTGAAACTGTGTTATCTTCAATCTAGATATATGTATCTCAATTGTTTCCTGTCCAAAGCCGACTTCCATTCGACGACTCGTTATTTTATTCTGGATTAAATTCGTCTGCATACATTGAATTGGACACAGAATTTAACGAAAACTTGCAGCAATAATTGTCAGCTGAAAGGCACGTAAGTCAGAGTGTAAGATAAATCCGACTATTCAGCACGGAACTGTGAGAAAGGGTCACTATGGTTGTCGAGTCCAATCATAGGACTGGCATAGTCCAGCCAAATCCGATTACCATAACTACCGAGCGTTATTTGCTGGACCATGAAAATCTCGCGTAACAAGGTTCATACCTTAGGCCAAAGCTGCTGCAAAAGCGTCCCGCAAGCCTCCTTACGAGGGCCTCTGGTGGCGGAATTCGGTTTTAATTCCTCGGTTGCCGCGAGTTGCCGCGACGTGGCGCGAGATTACTTTTCTTGTTATTCCGTGAGACGTTTCGTAAAGCGGTAAACGAACCGCTACTGGCTAAATAATAGAAAAAGTTCACGGAAACATTTATATACCGACCGGCCCAGTTTTTTGGTTACAGCTCT